TCAGGGTCAGAGTTAGGTCAGGTCAGGGTTAGGTCAGGGTCAGGGTTAGGTCAGATCAGGGTCAGGGTCAGAGTTAGGTCAGGGTCAGGGTTAGGTCAGGGTCAGATCAGGGTCAGAGTTAGGTTAGGTCAGGTCAGGATCAGGGTCAGATCAGGGTCAGGTCAGGGTCAGGTCAGGTCAGGGTCAGGGTTAGGTCTGCATGAGTCACCTTGCTGTGGGCATACACCACAGAGCCCAGCAGCTTCCAGGTGCCTCCTCGTCGGTCCATTCGAATCATGCGAAGAATCTGCAGAAACCGAAGAGACCTGATGGCTGACGTGGCGAAGACATTTCCTTGAGTTCCAGCAGCCAGGACGGAAATGGAAGCAATCAGCACCATTATGTCTGCAGGTCAAAGGTCAAAAACAAAGGTCAGCTGTTTAACAATCACACTCAGCTGTTATGTTCTTGTCTTTGGACAGAACCAAACTAAAGACAGATCACCTCTATGAGGAACTGTGAGTTCAGAGTTTTGTAGAAGACTGAAACTACAAAAAATGTCCCCATAGACATGCATGAAGTGTTAAACCCAGTCCTGTTTGGACCTCCAGCTCAGACTTCACAGCAGAACCATCATTCAGTTTAAACGGGTCACAGGAAGTTGGACTTTCCATGACCGAGCTGCTGTTTTCACTTCTTTAACTCTACACGGTTACAGCTGAACATGGAGGAGTTTACAGGTTTGACCACACAGGGCGTTGAGCTTGAGTCTGATGATGTCACGCACCAACATTTAGCTGTCTAAACATCTTTACAAAAAAAAATAAAAACCATATTTCCTTAATCGTTAGTCGACAGTTTTTTCATCCAAACGTATGATTTTTTTTTTGTCAGCTTAGATTATTACAAAAGAACTTCAGAACAGAATGTTGGAAATTCAACATTTCTACAGAAGTGTTCCAGTTCGAAGATGAATATGTTGTGGAAAGACGCTGAGATGAGCTGCAGGCCAACAACCACTTCCTGTTAGGAATGCAACAATACTAATACACTGGTATAATATCTGTCTGATATTATGTGCTTGCACATGAGGGTTCTGATCCAACAGTACCAGATCCCACTTTACAGCATCATAACACTTTCCTCTCAGCTGAGGAAGCCAGTGGTAGAACGGGAGCCGTGTTAGCCGTGCAGATGTTCTGTGGTAACATCTGTGATGGCTGCTGGGCTCCTGAGCACACACACGGTTTGGGTACGGAGGGGCTGATGCTGGTTGGACATTTGAAACATTACACCATGGTGTACTCCAGCCTCAAAGATCCTGTTAGTACTCATGTATTATTAATACTCATAATGTTATTTAATGCTGGTACCTAATTCAATCAAAGTGCTCATACCTGATGAAAGTACTTGGTCTAAATGTGCTGGTGAAAATTCTCAGTCATTCAGGTCATGGTCAATCCATAAAAAGTAATAATAAGAAGAAAACTGGACTTCTTTTCTGAAGCTGAAGATATTTCCTTTCCCACCCACGAGGCTTTATCAATTCAAAAATTACTTTTTTATTTATTTACTTGGTATAAAAGAATGTGGCATCAGTGCATCTTCACTTTTTTTTTTTTTAGTTATGTTGAAGTTTGAATCGTTGCTTTTTTCATTCTCATTAATTGACCCTCAGTAAAACATCCTGATCTCAAAAACTACATTTTGTTTTAAAAATTGCAAACGTATAAAACAATTAAAACATGAATTATCAAATTTCAATAAATATTCAGACCTTCCCCAACACCAACTGAACTGTAGCTCAGGTTCCTGCTGTTTCTCCTGATCTCTGCTGAGATGTTTCTACACCTGGACTGAGTCTACTTGTCCTAAAATATACAGGTTGGACCTGATTAAAGGCTCAGCTGCCCCAACTATAGAAGATCTTCCACGGACACTCAGAGAATCGTAACAATCCAGAAGGTCAAAGGACTCTGATTCTGGAGGAGCAGTGTGGCTTTTGTCCTGGTCGTGGAACAGAGCACCAGATCTTCACCCTTGCAGATTTGGTAATCTGCCCATCCAATCTACGCATGTTTTGTGGACCTGGAAAAGGCTTATGACCATGTTCCTTTCTGTGCTGCAGGAGTATAGAGTGACTGAGTTGCTTTAAAGGGCTTTCCAGTCCCTGTAGAACAAAAGCGGGAGCTGTGAACGCATCCTCGGCACAAACTCGGGCAGGTTCTCAGTGCGAGTTGGACTCCACCATAGCTGTCTTTCATCTCTGATCCAGTTAGTGATCATGGACAGGATATTCATGTAGATGTTGAAAGTGATAGCTTAAGCATAAGCTTTAATAATTTAATAGAATCTATTGGTTTTAAGCAAAGTGCCCACACATCTACTAATTCTCATCAACACATTATTGATCTGGTTCTGACTTATGACATAGAGACTAAGTACTTATTAATACGTCCTCAAAAATCCTGTTCTGTCTGAACATCTTTAATAACCTTTGAGTTCACATTAGCTAACTACACAGCAACAGAGAGTAAATTTCATTATAGCAGGTGTTTATCAGGGAACACTGTAACCACATTTTAAAATCTCTTCCATCCGTATTTTCCCCCGTCTTGCAGAGTAGCGCAGTAGAAAACAGTGACTTAGATGGTCTTGTTGATAATTTTACAACTTCAATGCAAATTTTATCCATACAGCCATCCATCATCTTCCTCTTGTTCCAAAGTTTGGTCTCGGGGGCAGCAGCTTGAGCGGGGAGGTCCAGACATCTCTTTCCACAGCCACCTCTTCCAGCTCTTCTGGGAGGACTTCAAGGTGTTCCCAGGCCAACCAAGAGACTTTGTCTCTCCAGCATGTCCTGGGTCTTACCATGGGTCTCCTCCCAGTCTGACATGCCCAAAGCACCTCCCTGGGGAGGCGCCCAAACAGCATCCTTACTAGATGTCTGCACCACCTCAACTGGCTCCTCTTCACCAGGAGCAGCGGTTCTACTCAGAGTCTCTCCCAGATAACCAAACTTCATACCCTATCTCAAAAGGAGAGTCCAGCTACCCTGCAGAGGAAACTCTTTTCAACTGCCTGGTGGTGTTGTTGCCCCAGTTGAGGTTATCATTCAGATGCACACCCAAATACTTGAAGCTGGAGACCACTTCCACTGCAGATCCTTCTATATTTGGGGGTGGGGTTGTTCCATCTGAAGTCCACGACCATCTCCTTTGTCTTCTTCCCATTGATGTGAAGGTTGTTCTTCCTTCACCAGCTCTCCAGGTGTTTCACCTCCTGCCTGTAACTGGACTCATAGTTGTTTGTGATGCATCGCACCATCACTGTATCGTCTGCAAACGTTACAATATGACAGCCTGGATGGGTCGGTGCACAGTCATACGTGAGCAGAGTGGATGAAGGTCAAAAGAAATGTTGCTAAGGGTGCTTCAACTCAGGACCAAGTAAAGGACCTGAATACTTATGGAACTGTCAAGTCTCTACTTTCACTCTAGAACAAAAAGTAATTCTGCTTGTCTCTAAGGAGAACTGAAGATCAAAATTTAAGCAACTTTAGCACCAGACTGCAACATAAATCCTAAAAGATTAAATGGTCAGATTACTTTCTGAAATGATGCGTTTCCTGACCCACAGTTTAGGGGCTCCAGACTCACCAATGACACAGAAAGGTTTTCTGGCAAATTTGAGTCGTCCTCTCCATCCTCGATACCGACAGCAGCACCCTGCGGCCCAGATCCTCACCATGTACTCTACCCCGAACACTACGATGGTCACCACTTCCTGGAGACAGCAACACAAACATCTGACCATTAGCTTAAACTCACTTATAGCTGGAACTCCGGAAGAACATGCACTATTTGAAAATACTGCATTGTCTGATCACCCACACATTTAGGACAGTAGATCGCTAAACTGCTCCTCACCCAAAAACTAAACACTGAACATTAGCATACAGTGATCTGCTACTACTGATGGCAGGCTGATGCACTGTACGCTTCTTTTAAACTTTTTATTTATTAACAAAAGTTAGTATTAAATCAATTAATTTATTATGGTCTTATAGTAGTTTTTTTTATTCATTTTTTATTATGCGAACATTTATTAATTTGTTTGTTTGCTTGTTATAGTAAACACGGCGTCCTGTTAACTGTTTTTCATTCTTACCATGTAATTGTTTTAATGGCAATAAACTGAGTCTGTCTGATCAATCATACACATCCAACCACACTGCACTGTCTGATGACATGTCCACTGCATTGTCTGATGACATGTCCACTGCATTGTATGACTACATGTCCACTGCACTGTCTGATGACATGTCCACTGCACTGTCTGATGACATGTCCACTGCACTGTCTGATGACATGTCCACTCCACTGTCTGATGACATGTCCACTGCACTGTCTGATGACATGTCCACAGCACTGTCTGATGACATGTCCACTGCACTGTCTGATGACATGTCCACTGCA